CAAAAATACAGAAAAGATTTCCGGGAATATGCAGATTTTGTTTTCACAGAATACGGTGGAAAAGTGAAAAACTGGATCACTTTCAACGAGCCATGGGTCTTCGCTCATGCAGGTTACGACGTAGGCAAGAAGGCACCAGGACGTTGTTCTCGTTACGTTAAAGGTTGCGAAGACCGAGATGGACGATCCGGTTATGAGGCTTATGTAGTCAGTCACAACCTCCTCAACGCTCACGCAGAAGCTGTTGAAGTTTTCCGCCAAAAGGTAAGTTACATTTGATATAAATCACAATTAATTATCAGCTTTCGGATTTGAAAATAGTTTGTTTTGTGTTGTGTTTATGGACATAGGTTAAAGGTGGGAAAATCGGAATCGCACATAGTCCGGCTTGGTTCGAACCACATGACCTTAAAGATTCAAATGACACTCCAACTGTCGGCCGTGTACTTGACTTTATGTTGGGATGGTAAGTATATATTTTGTTAGACAATGAGTTCTCGTATAGTATAGTTTCATTAATTTAATTAATGGAGTTCTGATTATTATTTGTAGGCATCTAGACCCAACTACTTTTGGAGATTATCCACAAATCATGAAAGACCTTCTTGGCCACAGATTGCCTAAATTTACGAATGCGCAAAAAGCAAAATTGAAAGATTCGACCGATTTCGTAGGACTTAACTACTATACTTCAACATTTTCAAACCATAATGAGAAGCCTGATCCGTCTACACCAAGTTGGAAGCAAGATTCTCTTGTTGCCTGGGAACGTAAGTTTTTTTTTTCCTTACATGAAAACCAAACCAAGAAACTAGAAGAAAATATGTTTGTTCCTCTTTTGAACTACTAATTGATATGTATACATTTTCACTTTTATTTTTTCAGCTAAGAATGTCGATCACAGCGCCATTGGTAGTCAGGTAATTAAGCGATAATTAAGCGTTTAATTAAACTAGTCCTAGTTTGAGATTGTTGTAACAACTAAACATTAATATACATTTCTCCATTGTTTTATTTCAGCCTCTTACTGCTGCATTGCCCGTCTACGCTAAAGGTTTTCGAAGTCTTTTAAAGTACATCAAGGATAAATACGCAAACCCGGAAATTATGATTATGGAAAATGGTAACTCGTGAGATTTATTGTTATATTTGTGTGTTTATTTAGGTTTAGAGTAATATATATTGATCTTAATGTTGTTTTTCTAGGATATGGAGACAAACTAAGGGACAAAGATTCGGTTGAGGTTGGTACTGCTGATCATAACAGGAAATATTATCTTCAGAGGCATCTTCTGGCTATGAACGAGGCTATTTGGTAAGCATTTTATTATTTGTTATTTGATAGACTAACAATTCTATTGAATGATCTAACTAAGAACATTTAATTTGTGTATGCGCAGCATCGACAAGGTGAGAGTTACGGGATACTTTGTATGGTCATTGTTGGATAACTTTGAATGGCAAGATGGTGAGAGTTACGGGATACTTTGTATGGTCATTGTTGGATAACTTTGGATAATAGATTCGGACTCTATTACGTCGATTTCAAAAATAACCTCACACGTTATGAGAAAGAATCAGCCAAGTATTACAAAGATTTCCTCGCTCAAGGTGTTCGTCCATCCGCGATCAAGAGAGATGAGCTTTAAGTTATATTTTGAGGATTTGGTTTTATGTTCAATGTTTGTTTTCTATGTTTTAGTTTGTGATTGGACCATGATTCATGAAGATCTTGGTTAATAATAATAAAAGTATTTTGTTTTCCTTCAGTCTCTAGCATATTTTACAAGATCAAAATTGCTTTAATTTTAACAACATTATCCTTATGTGAAGTTAAATAGTTTAGATTTTAAAACAGGACGACCAGCAAGTTGAGATATCTCTTTTGTCACTTGGAATATGAAATGTAAACCTATTCGATATCTAATTCAAGAAATTGGTTTTCAATCAGGCCCAACGTTATTTTTTTTTTTTGTAGTCATTTCCTTCTGTTTAGTGATAACGAAGGACAAACTAGACGCACTTTATAGCGTTCGATCGTACCATCCAATTTATTCGATCGTGGCCTATCAAACGGTGGTGTACTCCAATACAATATCTCATACTACATTTTCTACTTCAATAGATCAGTAGGAGTCTCAAATAATCAAGTGGTCCGCATCTTTCATTTCAACAACATATCTCGATAAATTAGAGAAAACCATGTTCAAAGGATGTCCTAAACGGCAAGACAAAAATCTATATATAATAGCAATCTAATAAATACCATTCGCACATCTGAACGGTTGCGTTTTTTATCGCAACCTTTCGTTTAAATCGGTTATTTTTTTTATTGAATTTTCGTTGAATTATTTACGGTTATATTTGTTCAATTACAGTCGTATCTTTTCAGTTTACAGTTATATCTTTATAGTTGCATTTATTCATTTAAAGTTACGTCTTTTCATTATATAATTTCATTGCATTTTTTGTATAGTTAGTAATACTACGAAGTTTTTTTACATCAACCATTAGACAACATATCAAATTGGCTTTATTAACCAAAATAACAACCTCAATAAATGCATTTTGCACTTCTGAACGGTTGTGTCTCTTTATCGTAACTTTCCGTTAAAATATTAACAGTTATTTTTTCGGGTATGTTTTTTATCGCAACTCTTCATTAAAATATTGACTGTTATTTTTCGGTTGTGTCTTTTTATTGCAATTTCCGATAAAATATTGGTTGTTACTTTATTCGTTTGTATCTTTTTATCGCAACTCTTCGTTAAAATATTGACGGTTCTTTTTTTCGTTGACGATTATTTTTTTGGTTGTGTCTTTTTATCGCAACTTTCCGTTAAAATATTAACATTACTTTTCTCGTTTGTGTCTTTTTATCGCAACTTTTCGTTAAAATATTAACGGTTATTTTTTCTCGGTTGTATCTTTTTGTCTTAGCTCTTTGTTAAAATATTTACGGTTACAATTTTTCATTGATGGTTATTTTTTTGGTTATGTCTTTTTATCGTAACTTTCAGTTAAAATATTGACAGTTTCTTTTTTTGTTTTTGTCTTTTTATCGTATCTTTCCGTTAAAATATCGTCGGTTTCTTTTTCTCGGTTGTGTCTTTCTATCGCAACTTTCCGTTAAAATATTGACGGTTATTTTTCTCGGTTGTGTCTTTTTATCGCAACTCTTCGTTAAAATATTGACGGTTATTTTTTTCCGTTTGTGTCTTTTTATCGCAATTTTTTGTTTAAATATTGACTGTTATTTTTTGTCGGTTGTGTCTTTTTATCGCAACTCTCCGTTAAAATATTTACGGTTACATTTTTCGTTGACAATTATTTTTTCTGATGTGTCTTTTTATCATAACTTTTCGTAAAAATGTTGACATTTATTTTTTTTGTTGTGTCTTTTTATAGCAACTTTTCGTTAAAATATTGACGGTTATTTTTTTTCGGTTGTGTTTTTTATCGCAACTTTTCGTTAAAATATCGACGGTTATTTTTTCTCGGTTATGTCTTTTTATCGCAACTCTTCGTTAAAATATTGACGGTTATTTTTTGTGTTGACAGTTATTTTTCTGGTTGTGTTTTTATATTTTTTTTGGTTTTGACCCGCTAGAATGTTTTCTCTCTATATTATAACTCTTCGTTAGCTATTTTGTCACAAAAAATGTTTCAAAAGTGTTTTTAATCATAATTTTTTTTTTACATTTTTATTCATATTTTTTTTTAATATCTTTAGAAAATATTTACGATATAACTTTAAGACATAGTTAATTTTATATAATAATTCAATTATTTGAATATATTATAATAATAATTTAATACATAAACGTAATAAAATATATTTGTTGAAAATGAGTTTCTCCGCGATATCGCGGGTTCATAACCTGGTATATATAGAAACAGAATATATTGTGATATGTGCTCGTGTGCCGAGAACTCCTGTAAAGATGTAAACCCCATGGTCCCCATCACACTCCTTATTCGCACTAACCAACATCTTCTTTCATAGTACGGTTTTCAAAAACTCATTAACCTTTGAATAAAAGTAAATAGAACCAACTTTCAAGAGTTTTGAAACCGAGAGATTAAGGAACACTAGAAATCAGGTGAGAACTACACTCATTATTTGGGAAATTCAAATTCTGTGTCGTATGTGTTTGATAATAAAATCCTCAAATTATGTCTTACAGTTAATTTATCAAAAACGATTTATTCTCAAAAATAAAAACCAAAATATTATGTAAAAATTGATTTTCGAGAATTTTTTTTTGGAAAAACAAAAAATTCAAGAACCGGAATTTTTAAAGGCCAACTCATTTTCATAATGTTTCAGCGATAACGCAATTTGTTTATTAAATTGGGAATTCTTATGTTATAAATTGCATATTAATGGTAATATAAAAAAACAGCCAAAATCAACCCAAACTATTTACAAGCGGCATTTTTCAATCCGAACTCAAACCCCTGTATTTATCAATCCAAACTTAAAAAAAATTCAAATTACAAACGCACTCTGTAACTATTAGCCAATTTTAACATCTTTCTTGACGGCGTCAAGAGACCGTTAATTTATGCTGAATCAGCGACACCTTGGCGACCACGTGGCATTTGGGCTGGACACAACAATGACGTTTAACAATTGTTGGTTCTTTGTTTTAATAACGAATACTAAACTACGCCGTTTAGAATTCGGGTTGAAAAAATGTTGCCTGCAAATAGAATAGGTTGATTTTGGCTGTTTTCCCGACTGTAGTAGTATCAAACTTCGATTAGAATAAAAAAACATTCTGGGGCATTTTTGATATTTTAGAAAAGTATAGTCTTTATCTTATAAACTATTTTTAACTAAACGCGGAAACGCATTAGCTGGCAATCTTTCCTTTTGTTTTTTTTTTTGGTAATTGTCTAATTTTGATAAAAGATGCAAAACGCCCCCTAAATCAAGTTAATTTACAAATTTACCCCGCTGACCTAGAACTATATATAAAATCCTTTTCCTCTCCATTAACAATCACAAGCTATTTTTCCCCTTCCATCATCAAATTCTCAAAGAAAAAAGGTTACAAGAAAAAAATCCCCAAAAGCTTCCTCAAAAACCCTAAACGCCGATCTCTCGATCTTCTCCGATCTGCCTTGTTTCCCTAATCTGGTAAAGTTTCGATTCCTGATTCATCTTCTTTAGATGATTTCGCGTATAATTTTTCCGATTGTTTTCGATTATTTTTCACTTTCTCGATTACGAATCTAGATCTAGAGCTTTGAGCCATGTTTCTGAGATGCGATTACGAGTCTTCGTCAATTTCTTTGCAGTGATTTTTTGTTTTCTCGGTATCGTTTATGACAATCGTGTTCTAGGTTTTAGGAATCCGTTGATTCATATGTTCCACTAATCAGTGATTCATCGTTTAATCCGGTGAGGTTCTTGATTTGTGTATTTGAGGCTAATTGTTATTGTCTTTACCCTAATTTGTTCAGGTATCAAAATAGGCCAGTTTGATTTTATTGGATTGAAGATGTCAGACGCTTTGAATATGACTCTTGATGAAATTGTCAAGAAGAGTAAGTCTGCAAGGTCTGCAGCTGCAAGATCTGGAGGTAAAGGAGTTTCGCGCCGTGGACGTGGACGTGGTGGACCTAATGGTGTTGTAGGAGCTGGAAGAGGAGGTGGACCTGTTCGTAGAGGTCCTCTTGCTGTTAATGCTCGGCCATCTTCCTCCTTCTCGATAAACAAGGCAAGCTCATAATCTGGGATGTTCTATGTGTTTCTGTGCCACCAAATACCGAAGCGTTTCGGAATCATGCTAGAACTTAAAAGATTGATGCTCTCGTACACATTTTTTTAGCACTCAAAAACTTCGTCTGGATTCTGGAAGGATACTGTATCATTCCTGAAACACAGATTACAAGGATCTTCTAACATCTTGTAGTTTATGGAGACGATTTCTCTTAGACCTGCAGTGTCGGTGTACTTAGTCGTTTATATGGTTTAATTTCTGGGGACTTCAACAGGCATGTATAGATGCGGAGAAGTTTTTGTTGATAGTGTCACTAAAGAGCTCCAGTAAGCTAAGTAGTCCACATAGGGTTATCTGGTGTTGTTCTTTTAAGCAACACGGGGAAAGGCCTGCCTAGTATGTGCAGTCTTGCGGTGTTTAGGGGGGAAGTTCAGAAATTTCACTTAATAGTAAATATGATCCTTGATCGTTTATCTCTTTACGTGGGGGTATATGCACAATGCATGAAGTTCATGATTGGCCTCTTGCTACATCTGGAATTTCTTCGGAGTTTGATGGCAGTCTCAGTTTTTTTATTTCCTTGCTACAAGGAATTTGTTTTTGGCATCAGAGACTGACTGATAGCGCCAGTGTGATTCATATGAAGTTGGTCAAAATTGCATGTTTCCGCCCATTTCATTTGGTTTCTCCTTCGATGGTTCTTTACTACTACGTCCTGGAGCTCTTTACCTTGACTGGTTTAGTACTTTCAGGCAAATTGGTGGTTTCTCATCTTAAAAGAAATTTGTTGATTAATGCGTGGCTTCAAGATTCTACAGATCCTTTTCGCTGACTTGATCTGTTCTACTGGACTAGCTTGCCCGCAGGAAGAGGAGCTTGCCATGGCAGAATCAGAATGATTTGCTTGAAGAAAGCCTGAGAGCTGTTGGGGTATCGGGAGTGGAAGTCGGAACCACAGTTTATATTACCAACCTTGATCAGGGAGTGACAAACGAAGATATAAGGGTATAGCCTAACATCTATGTTCCAGTGCTTCTGTTGTTTTGGTTCTGTGGAGATTTCTGAAGTTAGTTTGTAATATCCTTATGGAATCTAGGAACTCTATACTGAGATTGGAGAGCTGAAAAGATATGCAATTCACTATGACAAAAATGGGCGTCCAAGTGTAAGTTCTGTTTCCTTTTTGCTATGGTTTATTCCGCTCATTACCGTGGTGCTGTAATATTTGGTATCTGATGTTCTGTGTCATACAGGGATCGGCTGAAGTTGTGTATATGAGAAGAAGTGATGCATTACAAGCTATGAGGAAATACAACAATGTACTCTTGGATGGAAGGCCTATGAGACTGGAGATTTTGGGTGGAAGTGCTGAGGCTGCTCCTGTTGCAGCTCGTGTTAATGTGACTGGATTGAATGGAAGGATGAAGAGGAGTGTTTTCATTGGGTATGTTGCCATCTCTTGGTCTGTTTTTTTACAAGAGAATAATTTGAGTTTATGCGCTGAAGTGAATGTATTGACGAGTCACTGATTCTTTCAGACAAGGAATTAGAGGTGGGAGAGTAGGAAGAGGAAGAGGTTCAGGTCCTTCTGGGAGACACCTTCCAATGTAAGTGTCAAAGAGTTTGAGCTCGCATTTATATGAGCAGATCATCGGTTTTATCATCTTATCATATCATATTGTTTATGTCTGGCAGCCAGCAAAACCAACAAGGAGTTGTGAAAGGTGGTCGAGGCGGGTTCCGTGGTAGAGGCCGAGGTAATACTGGTGGCAGAGGGAATAAAAGCGGCCGAGGTGGAAAGAAGGCGGTGGAGAAGTCTGCTGCAGACCTGGACAAAGATCTCGAAAGCTATCATGCTGAAGCAATGAACATCTCTTAAGCAGAAACAAGACTACGCTTCTTGTCATGTACTCTTGTGTTCTTTTATTCTTAGTCTCTGACTAATATATTACCTCAGATGTGCCAAAGTCTCTGGTTTGGTTTGATTTCGTTTAGGGTGGCTCTACTTTGCTTTTGTTTTCTTCTTTTGTTGCTTCACTTTTACAGTCACTTTGGTTAATGAAGTTTAAAGAGATTTAGTATGTAAATGAGAAAGCTTTTATTGTTAGTCTTTGCTTGCGCCATTAATCGTTTTGCATCTCTCAATCAAATACGAAATAATGTTTTAGTCAATTGTTAATTGTATAAGTTTAGAGTTATATGTTTCCTAGCTGCTATAAATTATTTTTACTCCAAATTCGTGATAACTGCCTAGTAATGTTGCAACACTTGGTCTTGAAAATAAAACTAATTGAACAGTGGGGGAAAAAGGACCATTAGAATGTTATCTTGGTTTTTGTTGTGTACAAAATCGAATCCAACACAATCGGCCTGAAATCTAACTCCAATCACCATCTAAGAAAGTTATCTCGAACAAAACAAACATTCTTCTGTCCGAAAGATTTTTCACAAGATATTAGCAACGTTCAAAATCATCACTGTCAGAATGCTCCATATACCCCGACTGTAATACAAATCACTCCGTATTCCAGACGAGGTTGTTGAATTTGCTGATGGCGCTGTTATGTTCACAGACGTCCCGTTTTTACCATTACCGCGACTGCAAGGAAAAACACCGATTAAAAATTGCTACTTGTGAAGATTCTACAATATGAGTTCCATCTGAATTAACTGATCTGAAACTGAAAAAAGAATCCTAACACGATTTACGCAAAGTAGTTCTTTTTAATCCGGATATGAAGTGGACATGAAACCATAAAAAAACTTGGTACTTCACCATGAATATGAATGTGCAATTCGGATAATCGATATAATTCCAACCTTAACCGAAAATAAACCATACCAAATCGATCCATTTCCTAACCAAAACCAAGACTGAACATATCTACCAAAAAAAAAGGGCAAAAGGAAACAGAATAATTTACCTTCCAGCAAACACACATGTACCATGACCTGCATTGAAACCACCAAGCAAGAAAAATCAGCTTTTTTGACAAAAATTAGTAATACACAATGTAATGTAATAATCATATTCAGCTTGTTGTTTCTTACTTGGATCTGTGGTGGTGATACTAGCAACTCCATTGAAGTTGCAAGCATCAGGATTATTCCCAGTCTGATGATAATAAGTATCAAACGCGTAGTTAGCATGCGCAATCACATTATCTGGTTCATAACAAGCCTCTCCTTGCTTAATAGGCGAGCAATCGATCTTCCCGGGACCACAAGCCCAATCAAGAGCAGCTTGAAGCATCTTTGGATCAGCACCTTCTCTTGCAGTACAGTAAGTCTGGTTCGTTGTATCGTTAGCTAGAACCGAGCCCGAGTTAGTCAAACGAAGTACGTAAACCGGATCACCATTTGCATTAAACAAACCCCAATTCTTCTCTGATAAAGATCCTGCTTTTATATCTTCGTTGTAGAGCTCGTAAATGTAAGTACTTACAGCGATTCCCGGGCGCTTAGGTGTTCCCGTCTTGTTGAGAACATGTCTGATGAGATTGCTGTTATAAGTGTTGGCGTTATCGAGTGTAGCATCAGGCTCGTTGGTTTCGCCTTTCGAAGGCCAGCCTGATTCGGTTACCAAAACCGGAATGTTCGTGAAGTTCAAATAAGCCATTGCGAAATATGTTGCATCAACCATTGCATCAAAGGCGTTTGAGTAACGAACAAGTGTGTTGGCATCAACAGCTTCTTTGTTTGGAGGAATCGGTTTGAAGAGCGCGTAGTCTAGAGGAATCACGCCGTTTGATTGCATATAGTCATAATAAGGATACACATTCATCATCAGGTATGAGTTTGTAGACTGCAAGAAGCTTAGTAACGGGACTATAACCGAATTCAAAGAGCGGTTAAAGAAGGCTTGTGACGGAGGAAAAGGGTCAAGAATCAAGGAAGTGGATAAAGGAGTAGAAACTTTGATCAACCGATCAAGATTCGACGAAAGTAAAGCAGCATGAACATTCTTTATAGCACTGACAAGAACAGGTGCTGCATTAGAGAGACTAGTCAAAACCTCAGAGCCAACAGAAATCGCGGTTATAGTCGTTGCAGGGTAATGTGCAATGACATTACGTTTAACCCAATTCGCTGCGGTTGAATTGGATTGACCAATACCAAGAAGTTGGTCATTAGGAATTGAGATTATAACTTTGATACCAGTGTTTGCTAAAGCAATCAACATCCCGGGATCAGCATCGTATAAACGGATATGTCGAATTTGTTGAGCTTTTAGTAAAGAAACAACTTGTGTTGGATGAGGCATATCCGAAAGATCGGTCCCTATGTTAACTCCAATATATGAACCTACAAAAATTGATTCCAACAAAACCATTAGCATCAACATAACATTTAAACATAAAGATTTATACTTTCTCTTGGTACATCAAAATCCTAAAACCTCAAGATTTGGATTCATATACTTTACTAAAAAAACACTGTTCTCTGGTCAAATTATTAGTCTTGTAATAAATATTTGGGACAATAAAATTCACCATTCTTGTTTCTTAGTGAGCATTTAAAAACAAGCCCACCTGCCAAAACACATACTGACATTTATTATCATAACCTACCACACTCTCAAACACACTCAATGAATCAAATCAAACATATAGATAAAAACCAAATAATACATATAAAAATATTGTCTTTGAGCTTTCAAGTGTCTTTAATACATTTGTGTTTCTAGAAGAACAGTAACACATGCAAAAATTAAAACTTTAGAATTTGGGTTTAAAGATTGAATCTGGAACTCAAAGCTCAAGATTGAATCTTGATATAAGAACTCACCTTCATCAGCTGGAGGAGAAGGAGAAGCTGAAGCAAGAGCTAAAAGAGAAAGAGAAAGGAGAAGAAGAGGAGCCATGGAAAGAGACAGACTTTTTTGAGAATCTAAGATAAACCCAAAGAGAGGAGAAACAGAGGAAGGGCAAAAGAATGAGTTTTGAGTCTAACAATGTTAACTTTGTGAAGAATAAGTAAAACCCACAAAGAAAGGAATGAGAGAAATTGCGTGGGAGGTAGAGAGAAAATAGGGTAAAGCTTCTGAGAGGAGAAAAAGAACATTGAGAAAAAGTTGTTGATTATATCGAAAGAGAGAGAGAGAGAGATTGGTAACGGTGGAATGGACGGCGGAGATTTGATCTTGTGATTTCAAATAGTCAAAAATGAAATCTAACGGTCTTGTAGTAGATTGAGAGAGTTATACAGTCAGAGAGTGGTACTGTCAAGAAAAGCCTAGAACTTTGGGTCTTAATTACCTTTTTTTGTTAATCACTAATATTTATATTTTTGATGATTAATTTTGAGTAAATTAGTGTGAAACATGTATTGAATATTATGTAAATACTCTCTTTTTTTTTCTTTCCTCTGTAAATACTCTCTTTGTTATCATTCTAACATTTTTCGGCCTTCTAGATGCGGTATTTCTTTAGTGATTCTTTCAAGACCTTGTGTTGTCACATGCGTCTGAATTCACAAATTAAGAAAAATAAAATTTTCATTTTTATCCCTTATTAATATACTAAATAATAACATCTCTAATTAATAAGCTAAAATAGTGATGATAAAAAAAAGTAGTTTTTAAAACTGCATTGAAAACTTAAAACGACAATGTTTGTGTAACGGAAAGAGTATAAAATGTACTCGATAAACTATGCTATATTTGTATATATTTTGGTGTGTTTTTTTTTTGGTATAGTAAATGTGAGTTTTAAAGAGCACAACTTTTGGTGTAAGAACAAGTTGTGCATTGGACAGCAAAATAAGTTGGTAACTACGAAATAGCCGTTGCCACTCTTTTGTTTGTTTCCCTCTATTTCTCTCAGTCTTCATTAGATTTGGTCCTTTTTTACCTTACTTTTATGATTTTATCTTAAATTATCCATTTATAAGTTGATTCGTTTTCTTTTTGTTTCTTATTTTTTATGTGTTACCCATACTAGTAGTAACTTTCAATTACTACATAGTCTTATAATACATGCTTTTTTCTTAATAGATTTATAAAATATTTCAATATTCAAATCATTAATATTTTTTTCTTCTATAAATCGTGAATTAGTTTGAATATTAAAGATTTTAAATATTATTTTGTTTCCAACATTTATTTATTTATTTAAAATGTATTTTCGGGAAATACCGGATGGTTGAATTTGTTCATTGTGGAAATATGTTGTTTATGTTGGCATCTTGGTGAGCATGAACAAGCAATTTAGCCGTTTGGGACGAACCTAACTTGGCCTACAAAATTTTGTTAAATCTCTTGATATTTATAAATTTATGCTTATATCACTTTTTGCGGCTGGTTGCGGGAGAACCAATCAAGTGGAATTAGGGGATTGTTGGTTAAAGAATATATATAAATATATATATATAAATATATATATATATATATATATATATATATATATATATATATATATATATATATATTACTTTTTTGCTAAATATAGATGATTATTAATAAATGTATTGTGAGCATTTTAATAGAACGTTCGTTGTTTTTGACCTTTAAATGATAACAAGGATCTCGGTTATGGACATTAATTCAATAAACTTTCAGATTAATTCTGGAAGGACTAAAGAATATACTGAGATTGGAATAGCATATTGAGGAAATGTGTGAAGACAAGGTCCACGACACAAGTGACAAGCCATGCCCATGCACAAAAGTATCTTGCAAAGCAAAACTTGGAGAGTAAGGCCGTGGCCGGTCCGGTAACATCGGGGACCAAATACGAAAATAAAATTTTAGAGTTTTTTTAAAAGTAAAAGCTGCTAATTTTTTTTTTTGCTAATTATGGAGTATTTATAATTTTTATTTAACAATTTTTCTTAATTTTTGGACATTGTTTTCTAAATTATAGGACTTTTTTTGCTAATTATGAGGCCTTTTTATTAATTATGGGGTATTTTTGTTTATTTTGAAGTCTATTTTACTAATTTTGAGGCCTATTTTACTAATTATGGAGCTTAAAAAAAAAAAAATCTTCACAAAAATGGGGCTCAAAAATATGAGGCCCAATACATGTTTCCTACAAATTGGTACAGGGCCGGGCCTAGTCAGAACACATAATGAATCTAGGAATTTTCAATGCTTCATAAAAAAAAA